TCGATCTCAAACGCGAAACCTACATACCCCTAAAATGGCCGGAGTGTACGCCCAACAGGCGTCTTGTTTAGTTGATAAAGTCCCGCAAGACATCACATCAACTGTACCAAACATATATGCACATATGCATAAGCTAGACAAGATTACCCCGGGAAGATTACCTTCGCCTTCACGAAACGAGCTTTATTGCCTCCAGGAAACAATTCAAGGTGCATTGTGCTTCGTTGGAGTACGTCCTAATCTCTTAGCATTATAGAGTTTTAATAATTTGCTTCAATGGTGAAACTTAAGTCACTGGCGACTCATCTTCTGACGGCGTTTGAAAAGATCGTGCTGCACAGTACTTGTACGGTAAGTTTTTATGGCTATAACTTATTTCTCACAAATGTTAGGTTCAGCTCAATAAGATTTTGTTTGTTATGCAGCGCTGGCCAAAATAGGCTGTTTGTCCATCGGACAGATTAATAATGACATTAAAGTTCAAACTTTTGGCCGTTTTTATATTAGAGGACGCAGTAGGGATTTTTAGAAAACCACGACGGCAACGGGAACGTCGCTAATAAAGAAAAGTTTAATTAGGAGAACAATGGCTGTGCACGAGCGTTATAGTTCTTGGTACATTTCTTTACCGTCCTTGGCAAAACAACAACGTGAAATGACCAAATTCTGCGTTGTCTGGAGAACGTGAACCACGAAGGCTAATTTTTTAAAATTTTATTTCAAGTTTATCGCTGTGTCCCAGATTCAGTTTTGTGAAAGTTTTGTCAGTGATAAGCAAAGTAAATGACTTAAGAGTATCACGAGATTCGTTGGTAAAATAGAAAGTCTTTTTAATCAACGTTGTTCTTGGTGTCACCATCGTGGTCACTTAAACTCCCTATTATCTGTCCAGAAGGATAATGCGTCCTCCCTGCTTTTATTCTAAAGGCGCATTATCCGTCTGGACGAACTTGGGCGAACATTTGTAGTTGGTCTAGTTATTCATCTCTAGTATAAAGATGGGCACAAGATGTATTATGCGTCTAGACGAACTATACTTTGGAATTTGTCTTGAACAACGCACTAGGACATAGTTTGTCTAGACGCATAATACGTCTTGTGCCCGTCTTCATACTAGAGATGCATAACCAGATGAACTACAAATGTTTGCCCAAGTTTGTCCAGATGGATAATGCGTCTTTAGCATAAAAACGGCCAATGTTTTGCTAGAACGGGTTTTTTTCGGGCGGGGGGAAACTTGCAGAAAATTTGGGTGGGGTGTGCGGCAAATTTTCTTGAAGTCCTTATCCTATTTCAGACCAAATTTGGCCATCCCTCATGATATTTCAGGTGTAGTCAATCAATAAACTGATAATCGATGTTGATCAATAATAAACATTTATTGAATGAGGAATCAAGGTTGAGGTAGGGGTTATCAGCCTCAGCCTTTGATATTTTATTTTACTATACATTAAATGAAAAAAATGGAAGTCATGCTTTTGCTTCTTCACTGACGGCAAGCAACACAAAGCGTGCAAACTTGACCTGATTACCCTTAGAAGTCATGCACCGTGGTCATACATGACATGACTACCCATGACCGTGAGTGTCCTTGACATGATTATTGTATAATCTGCAGCTAAATGACGTCACAGGCACTTATTTCGAAAATTCACTGGACGCTTTCAGTCAATCAGAAAAGAGATAGTGAGTTCAATGTATAATAACAATATAATCAATATCAAGAATGATATCGATTGCCAATAGCAATGGATTGGTGATAGTAATTGGCATGAATTGGTATCGATTATTATCGATTGTTAGAGGAAATTATTTTTGTCCATTTTCAAGTTACACTGATAAAATGTTTCATCTACATCTACACTTAGGTCCTCTTTACATGAGCCTGGTAACCGGGCTGGCTAGGTTACCGGGACAAATTGTGTCATCTGTTCATATGGGAAATTTCAGCCTGGTCGACCGGGATGAAATCCAAGAAACACAACCAAATGGTGGAACATAAACTTGTATCGTTTGCGGCTGTCGTAGCTTTGTGGACTCTTGCAATTTTACTAATAAAGCTAATTCGCATACTCCTAAAGAGGAAATACATACAAGACAAAAATTATGCCATTTTGGCCACTATGTTGCGAAAGTGAAGCAATTTTGTCTAAAAAGTTCTGTCCTGGTTACCTAGGCTGGAGTGTTCATATGGGAAAATTTTCATCCTGGTTACTGAGATCTCGGTCGCAAAAAACGAGATCTCAGTAACCGGGCCAGCCCGGCTTCTCATATGAACACATCAAAATTTTTACAAAGGAAAGAGTGGCGAGGCGAGATTACAGAAACCAAGCCAGCTCGGTTGACCGAGCTCATATGAAGAGGCCCTTAGTTAAGTCGGTAAAAATTGTGAGATATCACACCAACTATAAAACTTTCGATAAAAATAACACAAAGGGATCTCAAAAAATAAAAAATAAAAAAAGAAGATAAATAAAACCAATGCAATGGAATATTAATAACTATTAACTAACTTTGATTTAAAACTATCTACGGACTTTGAATTCACAATATCCTCAGGAAGAGAGTTCTATTCATTAATTGTTCGTGGGAGAAAAGAGAACTTAAAAATACCTTTCTTTCATTTGAAAAATCTGTCTATAATGGTTTTACTGAGTCAATTTATCATAGCCTGTGAAAAATCATTGACAAAATAACAACTTACAGGTGCAACTTAACATCTTTAGACTTTGCTAGTTTACAACACTGGAAGAAGCTCAGTCCAGAGTTAAGCAGCATAAAACCCTCCAGTCTCATTATAGCATTGGCATTAAGATGAAGCACAATAAACAACCGTCAGTGTTCTACTGATTTCAATTATTTGCTTTATGAAAAAACATAGGAATTAATAGTCATCTCCAAGTAGGCCAAAAGGAAAATATAATCTAGTAGCATCATCTGAAGATGAACATCTCATATCATTCCAGGTATTATTTTACACAATATCAAAGCCATCTTTGGATAGTTCGGGTGGTTATTGTCAATTTTTTTTTCTATCGATATATAACAATTGATATTCCTGAAGACAGGAGTTACATGTATTTATTGTTATCAATGTTGCTAATCAATGGCAATTGATAAAAATTTTTTCTGTGAGTTTAATTGCTATTGATTGCTGATATCAATCAAGAGCAATTGGCGATTGACATCAATTGATTATTTATCAATTGAATTGATTGATTTGTGATGTCGATTTTTATTGATTGACTACACCTGGCATACTCTCCATGTTTAAGATCTCAATTAATATATAGATTTAGCTAAGCCTTAAAGCAGAGCTACTGGGCTGGGTTGTTCAAAACCCCAAATTAAGTTAACCCAGGATAAGCGAGAAATTTGACTTGAGTTTTGTAACTTTGTGGTCAGGTTTTCTGTATATTGCTTGGCCTTCTGTTTTGGGTGATGTAGCAGCTCTCGTAAGGTCTCCCATGAATGACTTGATATCCTTTGAGAGAACAATAGAACAATTTAACAACAGAAACAATTCCCCTAGCCCTAAAACAATAACAACTACTAACAATGAAGAGAATTTCAAGCTTACGAGAGCTGCTACACTTCTGTCTGTTTTGAGTTTGAATAATCTCAAAATACCTCCCCCCCCCAAAAAAAAGCAGTGGAAAACATTTTGTCTACAAGAAAAATGTATAGTTTGATTAACCTTTAATCCTGGGTTGGCGTTAACTGGCTTCCGAACAACCTGGGGCCTGTTTACAACAAGTTAACCTGACATCAACCCTTGATCCAATCGAAAACCAGAACTTGTTTAGTGATCAACTTCAAAAAAAAAAAACATGTGACCTTGATGAGCTCTGAACTTAAGCCCATGATATGGTCACATGATACTGGTCAGCTGACACCTTGTTTTGACAGGTGTCAATTGACAATAAATGTGGATGTCCAATATCAAAGATGTACACTGTAAATCAAAGCTGCATATCTTGGTCATCTTGTTAGCTGGAGTTTGGCCACCATGTTGTAAGATGTAGTTGTGCTTAAGAGCCCACAAGCAATACCGCTAGCTATTTTTACCATGAGAAAAGCAATTCACGGGTTTGATGTGAGTATGGGGCTCTGCTTGGCAGCCGTTTGGGCTGCCAGAGCTTCACCATAATGATAAAGAAGTTACTGTATGTAGCTTTTTGTAAAACTGTTAATGCAAGACCAAGATGATGCAGAACTGTTCCTCTCTGGCTCAGGACATACCTATATAGATTGTGAAATGTAAGGGAGTACCCCCTACCCCATTTTTAGATAGGCTTAATTTCAGACACTTTGCTTAAGGTGAATCTTATTGAATTTGGGGGTGGGGTGGCAGGGGGTCTCAAAACAATATGGATTTTTAGCCGTTTTGGCCAGAAATAGGGTATGGTTTTTGCACTCCTGTCTTGAACTAGGACGTTTTTTTTTAGAATAACCTACATGTACTACTTTCGTTTTATTGGTAAGACCATTAACAAAAGCCCTTCACATTATGCTTTTGACATCAGTCTGAACAAGGAAAATAATTATAGGGCAGGTGTGAAACAGCTAGGTATTAATTTAAGAGTCTGGTCATAAATTGGGTAGGGAAAATTTCAGATTTTGGTCTTTAATAGGGTAAGTGTTTTGGGAAGTGGGCTGCACACCCCCACTCAATTTTTATGGGACTTACCTCCTCGGGAATGGACCTTAATAAATGACCCATTAGCTACATGTAGTGTATTTAACCTGCTTAGTGGTAAAGATGTGGACAGTTTGGTGATACAACTTCATCCTAGTCCACTTCAATAAGTCTTTAATGTCCACCAAATTGAACTCAGACTTATGCCACATCCAATTTTGGCACTTCTTGATATTTTCTTCATCCAATTATTTCCAAATTGAACATCATATTAATAGTCCTCTTGTAAATTGAATAAATTAATCATGATGTTATTTCACGACGAATATCATGTGATCTGCTGTATTCAACAAGGAAATCTTAAATTCTTCAACTCAATGTGTGACGTGCATTGAACATATTTTAGCTCTATGATTGGCTGTCACACACACAGTAATTAAAGGCAAACATCTTGAGCCTTAATTTATCTTACCTTTCCTACTTAATTGTTCCATTTCTGCTTGCCAAGACATGAGAAGAAATTTTAAACATATTACATCGGCTTTCAGTGTTACGTGCTTAGGCGACATCTTTTGAGTTGCCATCTTTTGACATGCCATCTTTCGACAAGCTAGGTAACCTGGCCTTGGTCAAAAATATAAACACATCAGACTTTTTTATGGTTGAATTCGGCTTTTAGTCATGAAGGATGGAGTTATTTGACATCAAACCAAAGTTAGGTCGTATCAACAAGTCATTCTGTAAGAGAGAAATTGACTGTTTTGAATGTTTACATCTTTCGAATGTCAAAAGCGGAAACAGCCCACTTCTACCGGAAGTCACTATTGAGAGCCGATCGACACCACTAAAATCTTTTGATTTATCCCATAAATCTGGAAACATGTAAAGTCCACAATCTTCCTCAGCCATTTGAGGTCAGTAATCGTCATTTATTTGTCATGTTTTCCACTAATAACTGGAAAAATTGCTAGTTTCATAGTTAAATAGTCTTTCATCATGATTTAAATAGCATGTCGAAAGATGGCATGTCTAAAAAGGCTTTCAAAAGATGTCACCTATGCTTGTAACACTGAAAGTAGGTGTAAACCAATGCAGTATATTTCTCCTGGCCTCATTAGATATTCATCACCTTGCAGCATTATTTGTGGTCTTGAACGAATATTCATTGTTGCAGTTTTGCATGTTAATAATTGAAATTTTGCAGTTGTAAATATTGAAATGATTTAAGATCAAATGACAAATTTTTGCAGTACTTAATAGCTTGTGGGAAATACACTGTCTTGTTAAATTTTGAGCTGAGCTGTACCTTCATTTAGGGGTGTTTTCCTTCATTTTCAGGCTAAGCATATTACTTTTTGTTTACCTTACAGTGACTGAACACAGTTTTCCAACTTTGGAGTTAAAATTATTTTGTTTTCCCATTTAATTTTTGCAGCTAATAAGAAGCAAGCTGATACATATAGGTATAAATATATATATATATATATATATGTGTGTAATTTACATGCTAGCTAGTACATCCTTACCTAATCACCAAGGATTACCCAACTACATGTGAGTTACTAATAAAAACCAATGGTTTAGGGAGTGCAGGCAACATATTGATGAAAGGAGTTCCTCAATTAATTTATGTTGTGTGTGCAACTGAAAAATGAAGAATGTCAAAATTGCACACTGAATCGGGGTTAGCCTTTGATCCTTGCACACGTATGTTAAATGTAGCATCATTGGTGTTAAAACTTGTCCAAGAAACTGGCTTTCAAACATTGATGAGAACCAAAACAACAAAATCAACTAGAAATGCATACATTTGCAAAAGGCCTTGAGCAGTTATTTGCTGTTCAGAGGAAAAATATGAATACTCAGAGTTGTTTCAGTGTTTAAATCTATCATGATTACTCTATTTTACTGGGCCAGGTTTTTTCGAAAGGCAGTTAAAACTAGTAACCCAAGATTAAAAGTTAACCAAAGTTTTAATTTTTCTTGTATATAACTTTTTTTCACTGCTTACATGTATTTTTTGAGTATAGTTTGAGATTATTCAAATTCAAAACTGAAGGACAGACGGCATTTACAGAAAACCTCACTGAAAAGTTCCAAAACTGAAATAAACATTCTCACCAATTCTGGGTTAGTTTAATCGGGCTTTGAACAACCCAGCTCTGCATGGTGTTTTGTCAGCCTGTGAGGTTATGAATTTTTCCTATCTGGCAATAGCCCAGCTCTGATGCAGATCATATGCACTGTGGTCATTTGGAGTACTGTAAGTCAAGTCATGCATTCCTCCCCAAAAATATTTCATGATGGCTACGAAGAGCTTGTGTGTAGCAGGGTAATCTGGCAATTTATTAAGAATTGACAATTAAACCTCCAGTTTGTAAACAAATGCTGCACAAAGCCCCTGAATAGTAATAAAATAGAAGATTATTATTATGCAGAGAGGCAGTGTGTGGTAACTGAAACAGCAAAACTGGGTTCAGAAGTTTAACATCCCTAATTTTCAATCATGTTGTATTGGATTCTGTGACTCTCAGGCTGTGAGACCATACATAATTTGGGCCACTCCAGGATATATCCATACTACTCCAGGAGGCAAGCCACTACATGTTCTCAGCTAAAAATGGAAGGGAGTAGGGTTTAAACTGCCAAAGTTTTTAAAGGAATGTAGATCAATGAATTTAGTGATTGTCAGCTAGGCTATATGATTATACATAATTTGGAACATTCCAGAAGATATCCATACTACCCCCCAAAAAAATGGGGGAGGCGGAAGGGTTTCTAATGCCAGAGTTTTTAAAAGGAAAGTAGATCAACCCACCCTCCCATCCCCCACAAAATACCCATACCTACTTGAAATAATATACACTCCAAACTAACCAATTGAATTTCCATGGCTTTGCATCATAAGACCTTAACGTAACTGTGCTTTCCGCAGGTGCTAAATGTAGGTTGTTTAATAAATTGTGAGGTTCGATCAGGTTATGACCACACATAATTTTGACCATTCCAGGAGGAACAATTAAAACAAGCCACTACATTTTTTCATGGAAATAGGGGGAGGAGGGGGTGGGATGGGGGAGTGTTTCCCATGCAAAAGGTTTCAGAGGAAAGTACGAAATTAAAAAGGGGGTTAACCCCCCCCCACCCCCACCAAATAAATTAAATTAAAAAATATGAAAAAAAAAAATTAACAAAAACTGAAGAAATAACCAAACAAAAACAGCCTTTGGAATTGGAGGGGGAATTGATTATTTGTTATGCAATAACTAATTTTGTACTCCAAAATGTCTAACTGAATTTCCAAGGCTATCCATAATGAGAACGAAACATAACATTTAATTGAATCAAAGTGAATAATTTGTTCTTTCATGTGGTAATTAAATTGACTGCTTAACCTGCAGCTAATGTAATAAACCTCCATTTAGAGTCCATTTACCTGTAGTACCTGCGGTAAAGGGTTTTCATTTCTGGTTGTTCAACAAAATGATACCTTTGTCTCGATGCATGTTTTACGAACAATATATGATAAATTGAATGATTCAGAAAATGAATGATTTGCTTGTGGCATGTAATATATACCATCGCCAGCTTTAAGCTTTGAATTGGAAAAGTTCCCGTTGTCGTGGTTATTGCTTATTAGTTGCTTTACAGAATCTTGTTGGTTTCTGACTCTACTTTTAAAGCGAAGTAATATTATATACACCCAGTTATACATCTTTTAGGATGCCGGAATTGTTAAGTCATATTCTTAAAGATAATTCAACAACAAGTGGTCAAAACAGCGATGAGCATGTGACACATGTATTATATATGTATTGTATTATTGACGTTCATGAATTAATAGTTATTTGTTATCCTTTCCCGAGTCAGTTTACGGCCAAACGGTCAGGAAAATGAGCGTACTTGTGTTGGTCTTTGTAACATTTATTTTTGTGAGTCTTTAATGTTCAGTCAGCATCCCTTTTTACAGTTCCCGGGGCCATCTTGGAATAGCAACCGCGCTAACACCACATCGAGGCTAACGTTGACCCGGGAAACACAAACAAAGAGAAATCACAGCTGTTTTGCTCGCGCGTTCCTCTCTGTAGCTATTTTCTTCGATCAAAATGGTCATAAAGTACAAAGACAAGGAAATTACTACCCTTGAGGATATACAGAAACTCTCAGTGAAAGATCTGAGAGATATTTTGAAGAGTAATTCGGAAAGAGCCGGCGGAATAAAGGCGGACTTGGTGCTGAAAGTGTACGCTTTGCTTATGCGGAACGTAACAACGCCGGCTGATAACGCCCAGGAAAGTGTGGAAATCACTGGCGACTTCAAATACGACGAAATCCTAAGACAAATCTCCGCTCTTGGATGGTCTACTGACTTGCGTCAGCTTCCAGAACTGAACTTTATTCAGCTGTACGATTACCTTGTCGTGTCTACGCGCAAGTACCGCCACATTGTGCTAAAAAGGCACAAACTACAAGAAGCTGAAAAGTTACCAATTTTTCTTCGAAGGCAACGTAAAACGGCTGGAAAGCAAAACTTATCAAGGCAAGACCTATGTTAAGGCCAGCGTTCTTCCCTCAATGAAGAAGAATCCGTATAGAGTTTTAGTGGAGTTCTCACCTCAGTGTGACATTTTGCGAGCAGTGTGCGTGCACGTGTCCGGCTGGACTTGGCAGACTCGGCAAAGGCAAATGCAACCACGTAGGAGGCATACTGTTTGCTATCGAAGACTTCACAAGGAGAGGATTGCAAAAACACGCTGAACCATTGTCGTGCACGTC